AACTCAGCACCCCACCGTCGTGCACGACGTGACTAAGGTGCATGTGCTACCGTGGAGACCGTGTACTGCCCAACATATCAGTGGGAGTGGGCACCCTGTGAGCTGGGCTAAGGAAAACGCCCTGGCACAGCTATGGGGTGAAAGAGCTGCGAGTGCGCAACGCACCCCTCTCGTCCTTCTCCAGCCCTCTTGCACGACATACCTAACGTATGCGTCTGCTGGGCCCTTAGCTGAGAGCTGACGATTCGGTTGGCGCCGAGATCGAGCTGCGGGCCCGCACTGCTCATGCAGGATGGCTCAGGCTTGAGAGCGTATGGCACAACACATTCCCGTTCAGCGTCAAACGTTGTCTCTTGGTTGCGTGCGCTCAGAACAATATCTTGTCTGCGTAGGAGGCGCTTGTGCTAGAGCAGCGACGCACAGACCTTCTCGATCGTACCTTGGCCATGTTGTGCAGAAGTATGAGCAGAGTAGTGGCGTACGAGAGGGAGGACCACACCCAGACCCTGGGCACTTCCTAGGTGCTTCAGCGGTGGCAGATTCTCCCGTGCGCGCAGGAGCGCAGGGTTCGAAGACTGAAGTGGTACCAGACCCTCGCCCACTACCCAAACGACGGCGCTCATTTCGTCTCGGCCGTCTTCGGGGAAAGTGAGTTGGACAACACGTTGGACACTGAGCGTTTTCCTGGCGGGTGGTGCGGTTCCTATTATACTCCATGTACGCGGCAGATGCTGGAGAATATCGAATTTCAGGGGAAACAAGAAGTCGCATACTATTGGTGGGACCACCTCGACAGTATGCTGGATACGTTTGGAGGCCCTGGGGCTCTGGAGTTCATCGCTGTGGACATCGATATGCTTCGTAGTCTCGGACGCTGTGTCTTCCTCCTCCTCCACCAGGCCTCGGTGGACCCCCAAGGGCAAACGGTACAGAGGATCCCCTGGCAAGCCTCGACTTGTGAAAGGGAAACGCCCTGGAGGTGCAACCTATCACTATCAGGTGGCCCTGACCAGTGGTGCGCATATGAGCAGCACAGGCGCAGGGATTCGGCGCACATGATCAATTTTCACAACATCCGCTCCTGTCTCGCTCGCAGTCGTTGCTGACGTGTGCCCCTGGTGTCGGTCCAGCTTCAAGACGCGGGCGCTCGCCAGGTTCCACGCGTGGCAGAATATCGAGGGCGCGAGAGAATGCAAGGTCTATCGTTCCTTCTGGCCTCATGATGTCGTTTAGCCTCTGCTTGAACGCCTCACCTGCCATTTCTGTAGTTTTGGCCTTAGAGCGAACAGAGTTTCTACGACCACGCCCATGGACGCTTGACAGCGCCTGAAAATCTACCTCGGACCCTTCCCTGAGCACATCTGTTCCGACCGCAGCACGCATGGAACGGATCCCGAAGGCGAGCGGGGCCGGCCAGCCAAAGGACAAGAAGCAGAGGGGCTCGGATGGGCCCAAAAGAAGTGGCGAGCCAGGCAGTCGAAAGGAAGACGTACGAGCAGTGCAGAAGCTCATGCTGAGCCTGAACTACCAGATAAAATGAATCGCCGCGGTCCTCTTCAATGCCTGCCTCACCGTCAAAACCATGGCAATAGTGACGGCGATGATCGAGGCGGGCAAGACGTACAACACGGAGGTGGAACGCCAGAAGAAGGGTCACAAGCTGGGCGCTCCTTTCCTGCACATCGTGCTGGCGATACTGGAGGCGATCCTGCAGGCAGCTCAAGAAACGGGACTCGAATATCATCATGTGCGTACGATCCAGGATGCTTGCTCAGAGTGCGCACTAGGACAATCTCTCATGAGCGAAATCTCCGGGTCGTGCAAGGCCAAGGTGACGGCGCAGGGCAAGAACGAGGCGGCAGGCAAGACGGTCCTCCAAGTACGCGATCAAAAGCCACAGTATGATCCTCAAGAACACAGAGGAGGACCCGCAGAGGCAGCCGCCCCACGGCGAGGGCTTCTGGTCGCACCTCGAGTTGCGGGCGCTCGCCAGGCAGGGGGGAGGGGGAGAAGCGTGGGGAGAAGCAGGTGGGGCCCTTGCGCAGATCGGACCTTGCGCGAGTGGTGCAGCACGTCGGGTAGGTGGGCCAACGAGAAGCAGCGAGGGACGGGGTAGGGGGCGAGGAGTTTTGCCGAGCTGGAGAGAAGAGCAATCGTCCAAGCCCCGTTCTCTACCTCCTCCTCCTCCTCAGAGCCACTAGCTCAGAATGTTCCGGCGAGCGTTTCACGGAACATTCTGGGGGCATGTTTTCAGCCTATCGTCCAGACCTGAATTCTAGAGGGCAGGCCTTAGCGAATTCGGGTCGATTCGAGCTGCGCAGTTGTTGGCTCGCATGCGACCTCCACCCCCCCGTGAGACCTGGTCAGGGTAGCGAGCGGGTGATTCTGAGCCGAGAGGCCTGCTCAAATGGGCAGGCCCGCTCTGTGAGCAGCCGCGTCCAGAGCTGGCCGCAAGAGAGACAAGTCACGAGCTTCAAGACTCTGCCAAGGGGAGGCATGCTTTCAGAAGTGAAATTGTTGATAGGACACGAAGGTAGATCCAAATCTAGGTCCTTCCTTTTCTCCTCCACTACTCCTGCCAACATTCCTCCTCTTCTTCCTCCTTCTCCTCCTCCTCCCTCATCCAATAGTTCCATTCCTCCCTCGCTGCATCCTTCTCCGCATTCCCGCGTTCCCCCGACTCATCAACATCATCATCATCCATTCTCCCCCCCTTTCCTCCTGCTTATGCACTCTATGTGTAAGTCTCTTTCACCCGTTGTTTGTTCTGTTTGCACTATATACATACGCATGTATCTTCTCCTTGCCGCCCTTCGCCTCTTCATCCACGTCCTCATCCTCGTCGTCGTCGTGGTCGTCTTCTTCGTCGTCGTCGTCGTTCTCGTACTCGTCCTCGTCCTCGTCCTCGTCGTCGTCGACGTCGTCGTAGTCGTCCTCGTCTTCGTCCTCGTCCTCGTCCTGGTTGTCGTCGTCGACGTCGTCATCGTCGTAGTCGTTCTCGTCAACGTCCACGTCTTCATCATCGTCCTTCTCCTCCTCCTCCGTCCTCCACCTGCGAGTGGAGAACTCAAACCAGAATCGGCCCCAAACCAAGGATCCGTTTGGTCGAAACCCGGAATCGGCCTCTACCGCAAACCCAGGAATTCGCATCGAAACCCAAACTTCCGCAGAAACGTGAAACCCAGACTTCCCATCGGTAAAATCGGGAACTCGTGCTCCTTTCTCTTCTCTATCCTTGCCTCTCGCCATCTGCACTTCATCTCCACGGCCTCTCGGCGACTATTAGCGACGACGGACGACAACGACGACGACGACGACGACGACGACGACGACGACGACGACGGACGACGACGACGACGGACGACGACGACGACGACGACGACGACGACGACGACGACGACGACGACGACGACGACGACTGCGCGCTCGCGCGCGCCGCGCGCGCTTCCGCTCCGCTCCGCCCGCTGGCGAGTGCTGCCTCCCCGGCCGTTCTCGCTGGCCACAGTGGGTTCCCCCTCGAGCTTCCGCCGGAGGGCACCTCGGGATCGACGCGGAGAGCCCGGGCTCCGACGGCGTGCAGAGGTCGCGACCGCGGCTTTCTTCTGCGGCCTCCGCTCCCTCTGGGGGTCCTCGACGGGCTCTCGGCTCGCCAGGGAACAGCCCAGGACGAACGACTGGCTCTGGTGAGAGGGCGACTCCCGGGGATCCCGCCGCCATGTGCCGAGAAGAGGGCAGTGTTTCACGCATAGGATTCTTGAACATATAGGATGTTTAATACATGACTAATGTATGAATGAACTTATGCATGAACTCATCGTTGTTTTTAATACTAACGCCCTGCATTTTTACTACATGATCCGCACGCGGAGCATGTGTTAAAAACGGCACTGCAGAGTAGACCGGTCGTGCCGTTTCGCACCGCGCGCGCTGTCGCGTGGGATATCTCAAATTCAAAACATCGAGTGGAGCATTGTTGCCGCCCCCCCCCCCCGAGGCGTTGCCACGCGGCGAGTGGAGCGGAATGCTATCTGCTCCTCGCCGCGTCCTCGCCACGCCCAGAGTCGGAGTGGACTATGCTTTCGCTTCCAAGGCGTTGCCACGAGGCGAGTAAAGTGGTGGAGTGCTATTCCCCCCCCCGGGCGATGCCACGTGGCGAGCAGGAGTGGATTCGTCTTTCTGGTCGCCGCTCAGCGTTGTCACGTCACGAAGAAGAGTAGAGTCGTAGTTTTGTTTTGCCTCTCGCGCGTTGTCGCGTGGCGCATCGGGCGGAGCAATTTCTTTTTTGCCCCAGGGCGTTGCCGTTCCGCGCGCCCATCGGCCCGCGCAGGCCTGTCCTAGAAGTGAGAACTCTGAGCGTGTCAGCGCGGCCGACCTGCGCGGAATATCTCAAAATCAGGGCGTCCAGTGGATGACTACTGAGAAGCTGGTGCCAGGGAATTGCGCCATGATCGTCACTTTCTCGGGCTCCTGGGAGGTCCAGCGGAGTGGGCTGTCACGCGCAACCCGTCGAGATCTCGCGGCTCCCTGGAGAGCTGCGAACTGCGCTGCGCAAGTGTCGCCGCCACTTTCGCGGGCTGCGGTGTTATGCACACCCCGTAGCCCAGGGGGGCTGCGAACAGCGTGATTGTCCGCGCTCACGCGGGCTCCTGGGAGGTCCAGCAGAGTGGGGTGTCAGGCATACCTCGTCGAGATCTTGCGGCTCTCTTGGAATTCCAGTTCTGGGCGTGGAATTTCAATTCTTAACTCCGGGGGCTTCGCGTATGGGCTGGTGTGGATTCCGGTTTTGGCTTTTCAAGGATTCCGGGTTTGGGCTGCCGATTCCAAGTTTTGCTGGAATGGATTCCGGGTTTCGCATGCTTGGAAATTCTGTTTTTCGCCCCTGGCGACCCCACCTGCGCCGCCCCCCCTTCTCGATCCCACCCTCCTCCTCTCCTGGTCCCTCCTCCCCCTTCCTCCCCTGTGAGCGATGCAGGCTCCCGCCCAGCGGCGGGGCAGCGCTCCAGGCCAGCGCCCAGACGGCCAGCTAACAGTGCCAGCGCTGGAGTTGCCTCGCACGAGGAGGGCGCGCGGGAAAGAGGGGGGAGAGATGGAGGCATGGATGGATGGATGGATGGGGGCGAGGGATGAAGGAACAAGAGAGGAGCACTGCGCAGGAGGAGGAAGAGTAGAAGGATCAGGCAGGACGATGACGAGGAAGCAAGAGAAGCGGAAAATGGGGCAAGGGGGAGCTGGTGCCAGAGAGCTCGCCCTGATCTCGCCCACTCCGCGCCAAAATTACGGCACCCGCCCACGCATCGCCAGACTGGTTCCTCGAACCGATCCCTGCCGCAGCGCTCGACGGCGGGGCCTGCACAGCTCACGCGGAGGCCCCGGCACAGCCCATGGATTGCAAGCTGCTCGGCTCTGGACGTGCAGCGTGGACCCCACGCGGCTTCCAAGAGCGACCCCAGCACCTCTGGCGGCTGCGGCGGAGCACGCGGCCCCTCTGGCCGCGCCTCCTCGGCGGCGGAGTCCGCGGGCGCTGCAGCACAGACGTGCGCCAAGAGGCGCCGCGGGCAGTCGCGCGCGCCCGGCGCCACCGAGGCGAGGCGCGCCCCGACCTCGAGTCTGCCACGGAACGCCTGCCTCGGGGCGCGGGGCCCATGCCCGCAGCGGCATGCTGCCACTGATGGGTCTCGGGCTTGGCGGCGCCGACGATGACGGTCGCCGCGGCGTTGCGCACGCCGACGACGCCTGCTCCACAGGCCTCAGCACGTCGCGCTTGACGTTGCCGATCGAGACGTGCCACCGCACGCGGCGAGCTGGGGATCCAGAACAAGCTGCACTGGCTGCGCCGGCACTCCTGGCACGAGCCAAAGCCGGCCTTGGACCGCGAGTGGCGAAGCAAGAAGGCGGAGCGGGAAGGGGGGGCGGCCCGCGACGCGGGCGGCAGCTGCGGCGGCGGGCGCGCCTGCACGTCGTTCATTTCTAATCGTGCTCATTTCTCATCGTGCTCGTTTCTAGATTGTTCCTGGCCCCTAGTGGCCGGGAAGAGGCCCAGGATAGAACAACTAGAAATGAAAGGACCGTGGCCCCTCAAAAATCCAAGAACTTTCGAAGAATTAGACATGAACAATGCGTATGGATTGTCGCCGGTTCCACTGCGAGGTCACTTGCTCGATGCTGCGAATCGCAAAGTGTCCTCGGCCCGCGGGCCGCCTGCGGCGTGGACCCCTCTGGGCTTGCGAGAGCACGCGTGCGTCGGGCCCCTCCCATGCTCCCCAGTTGGCACTGCCCCAGCTTTGGGGCAGTGGCCCATGATGCTGCTGATGCTGATGCTCATGCTGCTGCTGCTGATGATGGTGGTGGTGGGAATGATGATGATGCTGATGCTGATGATGCTGATGATGGTGATGATGATTCTGATGATGGTGATGATGATGATGCTGATGATGCTGATGCTGATGATGGTGATGATGATTGCGATGATGATGCTGATGATGATGATGATGATGATGATGATGATGCTGATGAGTATGGTGGTGATGATGATGATGAGGATGATGAGGATGATGAGGATGATGATGATGATGATGCTGATGATGGTGATGATGATGCTGCTGCTGATGGTGATGATGATGATGATGATGGTGATGCTGATGATGATGGTGATGATGATGATGATGCTGATGATGATGATGATGATGATGATGATGCGCCCGTCGGAGGCGGCATGTCCCAGGTGCCACAATAAGTCAAAGTCACATGTCTCCCCATCTGTCTTCACAACCCATGCTACGCAAGAGCTCGCCTGCCAATTTCCAGATCATGTTGGGGCCCCGCAGCCCCGTCGGAAGAGGACGAGGAGGAGGAGGAAGACGGACGCATTCTTCCAGGAAGCGCTTCGGTATGCTTAACAAGAGGAGGGGAAGGAGGAAGGAGGCAGGGGGAATGGACAACAGGAGGGCGAGGGCGCACCGAGGAAGAAAATTCGGGGCATGAGGGAGGGGTACAGGGTATGGAGAGAGGAAGGGAAAGGAAACAGAAGAGGAGGAAAAGGAAGGCGAGCCAAGGGTAGGACGCGGAGCCGGATGAGGTTAAGGCGTATGGGGACCATATGACGGGGAAAACGAAATGGACACGGAGGATGAGGATGATGGGGAGGATGAGGATGATGACGAGGCTGATGATGCTGAGCGAGTATGAGAAGTATGGGGATGGTGAACATATGAGGAACATGAGGAGAGTGGGGGATGAGCAGGAGGATGAGGAAAAGGGTCAGGAGGCCGATGATGATGATGATGATGATGATGATGATGATGATCAGAATTAGGAGGATTAGGGATGGAAGTCTTAGGATTATGTGGAGAATCAGGATGTGGTACTTAGGATAATGAGGATGAAGAGAAGAATGATGAGGAGGAAGAGGAGGATGTGGGGGACGATGAGGAGGAGGAGGAGGAGGAAGAGGAGGAGAGGGAAGAGAAGAGAGAGAGAGAGGGAAGGATGGTAATGATGAGAAGGATGAGGATGACGACGAGGTCGAGGAGGCATAGGAGGATAGGATCGGATTGGATCGAACTCTTGTGGTTCTGGCGTCGCCTCGATGCCGCCACAATTGCCTCGATGCATCGCGGCATGGATGTATGGCATCTCTTTGTGCATGCATGAGGAGGGTTGGAATACGAATTCTGTGACATCGTATGTAGTCATTTTGTTGTTGTCTTTTGGGGGGCGGGCACATATTCACGTGTGCACGGAGGGGAGTGTGAGACGGAACGAGAGGAGGGCGAGAGACAAAGAGAGAGAGAGAGAGAGAGGGAGAGAGACGCAGACAGATGGGCAGATGGAGGAGGAAGAGACCTAAGAGGACAGTGACAGGGAGGAGCAGGAAAATCACGGTGAAAATGATGGGAACGAGGAAAATGAGGGAGACGGGAAGGACGAGGATGATTCTCCTCCTCCACTTCCTCCTCCACCTCCTCCCCCTCCTCCCCCTCCTCGGCTCCCCCTCCCCCTCTCCTCCTGCTCCTCCTCAACCTTTCTCCCCCCCCCTCCGCGGGCGCTTCGCCTGAGCAAACTCGCCCTCCAGAACTCCAACCGCGCTGTCGGACAACCGACACAGGGCCGCCCAGTCCCGGTGGCCTCGGTGCGGGGGGGCCGGGCGACAAGCGCAGGGGGCACACGGAGGGAAGTGGAAAGGGGAGGGGCAGGACAAGACAGGCGCAGATGTCGCCCGCAAGGCGTCCCCTCGGGGCCCCAAAGCCGTGTGGGGACGGACCGCGTGGTGCCGTCGGAATCCCCAGCGACCTCACCGCGCGGTCCATCACCGACGGGTCTCGGGACCTCGGAGGCCCTGGTCGCCCGAAACGTCCTCGGAGAGCGACCCGAGTCCCAAAACCGTGCGGGGACCCCGAACCTCCACCGACTCGCCGCGCGGTGTGGCCCCCACGCCTTTGGGGAGCCCCGAGTCCTGCGTAGGGAACGGCGGATCCGCCTGGACGCCTCGGTTGGCCCTGTGGCCTGTTGGACCGTCGGCGCCTCAGTTGGCCCTGTGTTCCACATCGCGTCGTCGCAAGCGAGTGTTTCTACTTACCGTTTGACATTCCAAAAATTCAGCGCGCGCAGACTCAGGTGGCCGAGGCCTCTGGCCTGCCCCTGGTCAGCACGATGCTTCGTGTCGGCCGGGCGACCTTGGGGCCCTCCAGCGGGAGACTCAAACCCGCCACCAGAGCAACGCCTGGGGGCAGAGGCCTGCCATAGAGACCAGCCCGCGAGCCTCTCTGCGGCCCCGCTCTCCCCACCACGAGAGGCGCTGCCAGCGGCCTGTGCGGCACGGTCTCGGCGAGAGGCGCGCGCGGGCGCCGTCACAAAGGCCGAACGCGCCGACCTCACGCCTCGTCGCCCTCGGCACCGCGGCCCTTTGGCTGCCTCAGGCACCTCGCCAGCGTCGCCGCCACTGTCGCGGGCGGGCGGGCGCGATCGGCGCTCGCACGGTGCTGCTGCGGAAGAGCGTGTGCGGCTGCTTCAGCGCCGCGGGCGCCGCCGCCTCCTGCGGCGCGCAGCTGCTCGGCCGCCCACAGGGGCGCCAGCCCGAGCGGGCTACACACCTCGTCCTCGTGTGGACCGCACTCCGCGACCAGCCGGTCAAGCTCCTGGCGGCTCGGCGGGACCATCGTCACCAGGCAGCGTGGCGGCTCCACGGCCAGCACCACCCCTTCCCAATACACTACGCACGTCGTTCGCAAAAGATGCGTCCGATCACCAGTCCACCGCCTGGGCTGCGATAGTAGCAATCGCACCCATCGGAAGACCTCGGTCCTTTCATGGCGCACCTTGCCCCCGCGTGGCCCACCAAGTCGGCGCATGCTTGCTGTCATCGGTCGGGAAGCCATGCGTCCGAGACAAATAAGTCCTCGCTCTGGGGCCCGTGCGTCTCCATCTCCCGTGCACCCGCCGGGGCGACCCGCGCCGACCCGCAAGAGGGCCGCGGGGATGAGGCGCGAGAGGCTGGGCGGGCCCCTGCTGGACGTCCGCCGGCCCGCCCTGGCCCCTTGTGCTCGACTTCCTCGAGTTCGCCGTCTCCGTCCCTCCTCCTCCTCCTCCTCCTCCTCCTCCCCTCCTCCTCCTCCTACTCCTCCTCCTCCTCCTCCTATTCCTCCTCCTCCTCCTCCGGCGCACCTCGGGCGGCGAAGACCTCGACCCCCTCCTCCTCCTCCTCCTCCTCCTCCTCCTCCTCCTCCTTCTCCTCCTCCTCACTGCGCCTCCACCTGGATTCCTGCGCGGCGGGCGCAGGCTCTTGCGCGGCGAACGCTGGCTCCAGGGCAGGCCAGCAGGTCGCTGAACATATGACCCTGCCTTCAGGCACGTTGGGCGGGCCGCTCGCCCCGCTTTCTGCCTGCCACCTGTCCAGCAGCTTCGGGGGCACGACTTCGGTCATGTCCAACATCCCCGTGCGGCCAGGCTCCGGCGCCTCCGCCACCGCCCGGCCACTGGCGGGGAGACCGAGGAGCGCGCTGTTTCGCAAGACCTGCAGCTTAGACTGAGGGGCCCCTGCTGCGATGACGACGCCGGTGGAAGCGAGTCCCTGAGGATGCGCGCCCGTCGCACCTCGCCTGAAGATCACGCAGTCGGCGTACCGCGTGGCGCGAGGAGCCCTCGCGCCACGCGAACTATCTGGCATGGCCGAGTCAACACCTTGTTCGAAGATCGGTTCGTCTTGCAGGGCAGCGAGTACGCCGCGATTTGCACGCTCGTCCCTGCCAGTCAGAGAGTGTCGCTCCATACTCCCTTCGAAACTGCCCAGAGCTGCGGCCGCCGACACGCCCGAGTATACTGCAGCCTCGAGCGCCAGACAAATGACAGAACAGCTGCGGTGACACATTCGTAAGGAGGACGCTGCCGGTGTTCCTACACTTTGGATTCCCAACCTGCGTCCCATACAATCTTTCGAGAGAACATGTCGTCGCGGCAGGATTCACCGTCAGCTCCACAATGGAGCCCTTGTCAGGCGGCCAGACTGGTAAACTGCCGTCTCGCGGGATAACGCGGATGTCGGCGCCCTGCGCCCACCAGGAATGATTGGTCTCTCCTCACATACACGCTCCTCGTCGATGACGAAGCGGAAGCTCCGCCAAACGCACAAGAATTGCAGACCCTGTCCTCTTCAACATGACGTTGTCACCAATTGTGGGGCGCTACCACTGGTCAGGGATTCGCGCCACTTAATCTTCTGCGAACCAATCATCGCTGTCGTATCCACTGTCGAACCGTAACTGATACCGTACAAAGCGTTCGTTGTCTGCCTGGATCTTCGCACCGAATGCGATGTGCCCCTCTTCCTGCACTCGTGTTCCACCAAATTTGCTTGAACCTTTCCGTCCTCGCACATTTACACACCCTGCCCTGATCTGGCGGGGCAAAAGGGTTCGACAGCATCGGAAATAAAGATTTTTGGGGCCCCATCCAAAAGGTACTGCGTTTCTTTGCCTGTCTTGTCAATGTGGCCCGTGACCCTGACGCTCACCTACTCGCCTGGTCCGGGCAACTTCACCACTTCCAGGTGGACGTCATCTGCCGCAGAGCTTGACAGCGGCCCTGGGCTGGTGGAGACTACCTTGCGCACCGCCGCGGGTAAGAACTTTCCCAGTGCCAGATGCGCCTGGACCACGTCGACAAGGTCTGAGCACGCGCAAGGTAGCTCCACCCCGAACTGCTGGCGGGTGCTGCGGCTCCAACACGTTAGGCTTGACAGCCTGGCCAAGCCAAGCCCTCGAAGTCGCCTCCGACCAGAAAGGCGGCGACGCGGCTGACCTCGCTCTCCGTGTCAGGAATGTCTTGTTCAGCTGCGGCATACGCGCGTTGGCTTTCCGAGCGAACTGCTCGTCGCTCTGAACCAGAAAGGATGGTCGACCCTCCCCTTCCTCCTCTCCCTCCACCTCGCAGAACAGTGTCCGCTCAACTCGTTGCCCGAAGGCGTGCTCGTGGTAGCAGGATATGAGGCTGCAGGCGGCTCTGTCCCCTGCGCTCGTCTCGCGGTGCCTGGATACATTGTCTCTCCATGCCTCGGGTTTCTCAACCTTCGGATCTTCAGAATACCAGCAACGGGTCCACCGCAAGTTCCCCGTCGAGCCCTGGCCCGCGCCTAGCTCACTCCCCGGGAGCCAAGGGTCAGCTCGTTGCAGGTCCTCCCTCTTCTCTTCGGCGGCCCGCTTCCCGAAGCAGAAACAAGTTGGAAGAGTGCGTGCCCACATGCCCTGTGGGGGGTGGGCCCTCTTGCTGCAGAATGCATAGGTGTTGCAGCCAGCGCCCTCACTTGTCCAGCTCGTTCCTGATGGCGCGCAAGTGCGGAAGCTGGCTCGTGTCTAAAAATGTCCTCAGTCAGCGCAGACGGAGAAGAGTAGACCGTGTCTGGGCGAACTCTGGCCAAACCGCGCAACATATGCTCGACGGCATCGAGAGATGGGTCGTAAAGGCTCCATCCGATGCTCCTGGACTGCCTCACCAGCCCATAAACATGTTCCAAAAGCCGGATTTCCAACACGACGATGAATGATATATTGTCTGTGGAAGGTCGGCACCTTGCGGCGTACAACTTTGCGAGCTGCTTCTGCACCTTTACGACCCGCTCCTTGTCCCCGCCGTTTTCCAGGAATGGTCACGCATGACCGCGACCATGTTCCTGACATGCTGGGCTATACTGTGACATCATATGGCGAGTTTGTGGGCCACTCGCGCATCAATCTTCAACCAACGGTTAGCGCGTACTCGCAGAAAGCGAGCAACGCCGAACGCGAGGACTATGCCGACCAACGAGGGACGAGAGTGAACAAGGCATTGGGCAACAGTCTGCATTTGCAACACTCCTCTCAGAGTCCCAGCCCTGCGGGCAATTTTGAGCCGTACATCGGCCCGAATTCGCCGCAGATGCTTTCGGCCAGCAGGGGGTTTCTAGCAATGCGCTCCTTTGAGCAACTGCAGGGCATTTGCCACAAACTTACTACAATTGACGAAACCTCAAGCCCAAACTGTCGTGATAGGCAAAGCGATGGTTCGAGCGCACGCACCCTAAAAATACGTTTGGCCGTGCACGCACTGCAAAACAATCCACGTGGCTAACCAATCCAGTTGCCTTGTCGGAAGGAGGGGGGGAGGAGGGGAGGAGGGAGGATGGGGGGGACCACGGGGGGAAGGCAAAAGCTGCCTGTCCTCCTCCGCCTGCTCCTCCTCCCCCGTCCTCCTTCTATTCGTCCTCCACCGCCACCCCTCCTCACCGGAAGCGATGAGCAACAGAGGAGGAAAGCGGAGGGAAAGGGAATATAAGGGAGGATCAATCTGCTGTGCCTGTCTGCCGCGCCCAAATGCCACACGAAGAGGAGGAGGAGGAGGATGCGAAGGAAGAGGAGCAGGAGTAGGAGAAGGAGGACGAGGAGGACGAGGGGGAGCATAGAGGAAGACCAGGACGATGAGGAGAAGGTCATCGCGAAACCGCCTTGGCCCAAGGAAGCTCGAAGGCTTACGAACAAAATACTCGGCAACATTCTAGAGCACCTTGGAGTACGCCGACGCCCCGAGGACAGAGATAGGAGAGGAGTGGAGTGCAGACTCAGCTAGAAGGGGACCGTGGACACGAAATTCCAGGAAGATGCTGATGTTGATGATGCTGATGATGATGATGATGATGCTGATGATGCTGCTGGTGATGATGCCGATGCTGATGATGGTGATGCTGATGCTAAAAATGCTGATGCTACTAATGATGACGGTGACGGTGATGGTGATGCTGATTGTGATGGTAATGGTGATGTTGGTGATGATGATGAAGATAATGACGATGATGATGCCATTGTTACTGCTGCTGATGATGCTGATTATGATTATGATTATGATGATGATGATGATGATGATGATGATGATGATGATGATGATGATGCTGATGATGACAATGATGACGATGTCGACGAGGAAGACGATGGTGATGATGATGATGATGGTGATGTTGGTGATGATGATGCTAATAATAAGACTGAGAATAATAATGAGAATGATGATGATGATTCCACTGATGACGATGCTTATTATGCTGATAATACTGCTGATGATGAATCGGATGATGATGATGATGATGATGATGATGATGATGATGATGATGATGATGATGATGGTGATGATGATGATGATGTTGATGATGATGTTGATGATGATGGTGGTGCTCGTGATGATGATGAGGATGATGGTATGATGATGGTGGTGATTATGATGATGATATTGAATGGTAACGGTGGTGACGATGATGACGATGATGAGGACGACGAAGACGGTGGTGATGTTGTTGCTGATGATGATGGTGATGATGATGGTGATGATGATGATGGTGATGATGATGATGATAATGATGATGGTGACCATCGAGCCACATCCTGAGCGCGTGCGCGTGCGCGCGCGTGCACACGCGCTTCAGGTATGTTAACACGCGGTCAATCATATCACTACCAACACTATTCACCTGACTGTAGAGGAGCCCCCTGGAAGCTCCTTGGATACCCCTGGAGGCCGCTGGGGGCGGAAGCTTCCTGGAGGCCCCAAGAAGCGAGCACTGGAAATCCTGCAAGATCCGAGAAATCCGCCAGGGCTCAAGGCCGGTTGTCCCACGCTGTGCCCCACAGCCGGCCTCATGCAATCACAGGCAACCCTCCTGCGCCACCACCCCCGGGAGGGCCCACTGGAGGCCGGTGGAAGCCTCTGAAAGTCTTGTGGTAACTCCTGGAAGCCTGTGGAAGCTCCATCGGGGCCCCTGAAGCCGTCGGAGACTCCCATCGGGGGACCACCGCTCGCGGGTGCGCCCGGTGGCCTGCCTCCCCAGCACAGGGAGGGCGCGCGGCGCCACGCCGCGAGACGCCCTGGATCAATCGCGCGGGCGGGCGTGGGAAGTCTAGCGCGCGATGCGCGGCGCATCCTTTTGTTCAGGAGCGTGCCCCGCCCTGACCCACGGCAGCATCACGCGAAAGGGCAAGAGATGATTTGCTGGGCGGGCCGCAGTCGGGCCCCACGAGGCCAGGACGGCGTGACGCTCGGCCCCGGGTGGCCCTGCCGCCGCCGCGGCCTGCGCAAGATCGGACCGCGCGTCCTCGGCCAAAGAGGCGCCAGTGAGCGCCGCGTGCCTGTGCCTCGTGGCCGTGCCGCGAGGCTCGGCGGCGCGTCCCCCGGGGGGCAGGGCAGACTGGGCGGGCCTGATCTCAGGAGGCTCAGCGGGGCCTCTAACCTTCTGAGGAGCTTCCTAAGGCTTCTCCGAATCCACGGGGGGCTTCTCACGAGAAGCCCCGCGGCCCTCTGAGGAGGCATGCCCCCCATGCCCTCACCCCTGGCTGGAAGCGCTTGGGGGCTCTGCGCCGGATGGGCCCGGAGGAACTCGGTTCACAGCGGGGGCGGACGAGGGCACGCCCGTTCAAAATCGGTCCCTGGATCCCTCCTGGCGTCTTTGGGCGTGGGAGCCGCCCTTGCTGCGCGCGTCGCCGTCGGGGGTCCTCCTCCTCCTCCTCCTCCTCCTCCTCCTCCTCCTCCTCCTCCTCCTCCTCCTCCTCCTCCTCCTCCGCCTCCTCCGCCTCCTCCTCCGTCGAAACTGACCAGGCTTCTCGAGCCGCGGTCCAGCCACGGCGGCGAAGGCGCCCCTTGCTCCTCCCCCCCCCATCTCGGCTGACCGGAACCGGTGCAGGGCCAGCTCCGCGCTCGGCCGGCTCCCACCCCCCGGGGCTCGCCGCCGAGATGGCGCCGTCGGCAGCGGCGGCGGCGGAGCCGCGGGCCGCTCAGAGGGGCAGCCCGTGCAGGGGGGGCCCTACACCTGCTGCGCGCTCTCGCGCGCCTGCGCGTGGAGCTCCTGCAGCTGCTGCTGGAGCGCCGACTGCTCCTGCTGCAGGCGCTCCTGCCGCCGCGGCCGCGACCGCCGGATCTCCCCTCGAGGCCCACGGGTGCGCAGGCCTTGGCCAGTCCGAGGTGCGGCCCAGATCGGCCTCGGCAGGTGCGTGCCATGGCGTCCTCGGCGCTGGTTTCGGACACCGCGCGGGTTTGTCAGCCTGGAGCGATCAGAGGCTTTTCGATCGCCAGATCGTTCCAGATTGACCGAGTATGGGCGTCACTCCCGGCGTTCGCACTCGCATTCGGCACCACCTGGCCGTTCCCGAGCCCCCCCGGCCCGGTGGAGAGGTCTGGAGGTCGCCGCTCCTTCTGGGACATCATCGCCTGCAGGTGCGCGAGGAGCTGGGGCGACTGCTCCGCCTGCGCCGCGAACGACCGGGCCGCCGCTTCCCGCTCCTGGGGGGCTCTATGAGAGCGGCTTCTGTTCGAGGCAGATCTTGAAAACATATCTGCATTCAAAACAATGGTCTACTCTGTAAGAACAATATGTTGCAGGGTAGACCCAGCGTCCTTGCTTTCCCAGGGGACTCAGGGCGAGGCGGGGTGAGATACCCGTGCACAAGAGGTCGTCGCACAATGGAGGAACACACAATGGCGATAGAAAAGGTTTATGTACAGACGCCCGAGGTGATCCACGGCGGCTCCTGTGGGGGACCGAACTGGATGGCAGTTCTTCGCTCTCGCTTGCCGCTGTTCGAATGGACGTTCCGTGGCTGCGCGCAGGTGGGTCTGTTTCTACACTGCATGGTCCTGCGTTCGTACCATGCGCGCGTGCCTGCAAAGGACGTGCGTAAGAACGTAGACGGGCAATCAGACAAAACGTGCGGTCTGGGGAAGGGCGAGCGGGCAGGCAGGCAGGCCGGCTGGCCGAAGGCCAGGCGGACAGCCAGGCAGGCGGGCAAGCAGGCAGGCAGGCATCAAGACGGTCAGACGGACAAGCAGGCGTAGGTACAGCGCATGAAAATGGACTCGTACGCACGCGCTAGATCCATTCATGCTCGAGCGAAAGCGCGCGGTATGAGCCACATGCCACTGGCACCACAGCTCCAAAGCGCGTGCGCGCCTACGCTCGTCTTAGGAAAAAAAAACACAAACACACACACACAGACACAGACACAGACACAGACACAGACACAGACACAGACACAGACACAGACACAGACACAGACACACACACAGCACACACACATGTATAGAAGGACCTCTTATTTTGACTGTGTGCGTGTTGCCTTGCCACTCCCAGTGGGCTCTGGATAAATTTCGGCCAGCCTTCGGAACGTTCTGGACAGCCCCATACGGCCCAAGACTCCCCCGAGACGGTTTCAACAGTGCCCAAGACTGCCCCGAGACGGCCCTGGTGCTGTGGAAGCTGCTCCCGCTCAGGTTGGATCCTTGTGATCTCGCCTTGGACGTCGTGTTGTTGTCCTCGGCGGCCCTGTCCCTGCTGCGCGGTAGTTGGAGAGACACAGTGACGTTCTCGTCACGATGGTGACTCCAGAGGGCGCCCAAACTCTTCCCTGTCTCCACGGCAGAAAACTATGCGCATCCTGTGGGTGACGAGTGGGCCAGGAAAACGCGACCAGGGAACGAGGTGCTTCCCAGAGAAAAGCGAGCGTCACACATCTGACGCACACTGACGCACACTGTTGTACCAATCGTCTGCTGAATTTCTGCGTCCTCAGATTGCCTTGTAATCTCGAAGGGCCGCCGGCGCTACGCTTACGCACGACTTCTTGACTCGAGGTTGCTGCTGCGGGTGGCTTCGAAATTCGGTCCGGCGCCGACGGCAGAGAGCGGCGGTGGTGCAAACTCCTGGCATTTCTCGATTCTGTGTTTGAATCACGCTATGACGATATCCTTTTGCATTTTGTGCTGCATACTGAGGTACTGTGCAGCTCATCGGGAAACATGCTGGTCTGGAGGATAACATTCAGGTCGCCAGTGCAATATGACTGGAGATAGAAACTACTCCAGTTCACATACGGGCCCTTGCAGTCTCAGTGCATGTTGTCGTTTTTGCTGGTTGTCGGACGCGTAGATCTAATGGTCGGCCTGACCATCCTAACAGGCGTGGTAGAGACATGATTACCTATGTAGGAAAGGGCGCGCCCGTCGCACACTCCTTACTAAAAGGGAAGCCCCAGCTTCAAGCTGCCCCCCCCCTCCCTGGGACAAGGGAGGGGGGGGGCTTCCGAAGCGACCCCTCCCTCCCGCTTTTGTGGTAATTTTTCAGCTGGAGGGGGCCCTATGTAAAGGGGGGGCTTGGAAAGTACCCCTCCCTCCCCCCTTTTCCTGCGCCTGGGGTCAGCCCAGGCTCCCCTTTCAAAGGGGGGAGGGGGCGCTTCTGAAGCTACCCCCCCCTCCTTATGTTCGGATGTTGTAGCTGGATGTTGTAGCTGCGGGGTCCCTGGCTGAAAGGGAGGGGGGGCATTGGAAGCTACCCCCCCCTCGCCTCCATTTCGGGGCCCGGGATAAGCCCGGGCTGCCCTTTCCTTGGGGGGGGGCTTCCCAAGCTACCCCCACTCCCGTCCTTCTGTTGGATGTTCCAGCTGGTGGGCTCTGGCTGAAAAAGGGGTTTCGAAGCTACTTGTCTTCTTGGGCTTTCGGCGCCCCGTTGGTTTTCGGCGTGCTTGTGGTTTTCGGCGTCTCTTTGGTTTTCTGCGCCTCTTCGTTTTTCGGCGCCCCTTGGGCCTTTGGCGCTTCTTTGGTTTTCGGCGCATCGTTGGTTTTCGGCGCCCCTTCGGTTTTCGGCGCTCCTGTGGTTTTCGGCGCTTTTCGGCTATCGGCGGGCCTTTGGTGTTTGGCGCCCCTTAGTTTTCGACGCCCTTTTGGTTAACGGCGCCCCTTCGGTTTTTGGCGCCCTTTGGTTTTCGGCGCACCGTTGGTTATCGGCGCCCCTTGGGTATTTCAGCGCCTTTTGAGTTTTCGGCGCACCGTTGGTTTTCGGCGTCTGTGTGGTTTTCAGAATCATTCTGAAGTTCGGCGACCCTTTGGTTTTCGGCGCCCATTTGGCTTTCGGCGCTCTTTGGTTTTCTGCGCCCTTTTGGTTTTCGGGCTGCTCTAATTTTCGGCGCTGTTTTGGTGTTTTCGGTGCATCTTTGGTTTTCGGCGCCCCGCTGGCTTTCCGAGCCTTTCTTGATTTTCGGCGCCTCTTTGGTCTTCGGCGTTCTTTTGGTTTCCGGCGCCTTTTGGTTTTCGGCTCTCCTTTGCTTTTCGGCGCTCTTTTGGTTTTCGACGCTACTTTAGTTTTCGGCTTCCTTTCGGTTGTCAGCGCCCCTTTGTCTTTCGGCGCTCTTTTGGTTTTCGGCGCTTCTTTGCTTTTCGGCGCTCCTTTTGTTTTCGGCGCACCTTCGGTTTTCGGCGCGCCTTCGGTTTTCGGCAGTCATTGGGCGTTCGGCGCGCCTCTGGTTTTCGACGCCTTTTCGGTTTTCGGGGGCCCTTTGGTTTTCGGCGCTCCGTTTGTTGGTTTTCGGCGCTCTTTTGTTTCCCTTTCTTTGGCCAAAGGGGGGGGGGGCTTCGAAGCTCCTCCCTTGAACAAAAAAAAAAGGAAAGGGGGGGGGGCTTCCGGCAAGGGAGTTCAAATGGGGGGGGCGGGGTAGCTAAGCCCCCCCCCCTGGGAAGGGGGGGAAAGGGGGGAGGGGGGGTAGCTTCCGGAGCGCGCAAAGGGGGGAGGGGCGGGATAGCTTCCGAGGGGAGAGGGGGGAGGGGGGGGGGCTCCCGGCAGGTGAGGTTCAAAGGGAGGGTGGGGGGGTAGCTAACCCCCCCCCTTGGAAAGGGGGGGGTGAGGGGGGAGTAGCCTCCGGATCGCGAAAGGGGGGAAAGAGGGGGGGGTAGCTTCCGAGGGGCGGGGAGAAGGGGGCGATGGGGGGGTCTCTGGGCAGGGGAAGTCCAAGGGGGAGGGTAGCGAAGGGCCCCCCCCCCATTTGGGAGTGTGCGACGGGCGCGCTCCCTCGTCGGACGGTCGCTTCGCCGTGGCATGTGCGTCAATCGCGCGCAGAAGTCCAGGCCCAGTGCGCGGCTGTACTTTACCAAGACAGGGGCCTTTACAGTTACCGTCTGGGGAGACCACGCCGCAAGCCTCGATGCTCATTCCCGATTGCCGATTGCCGCAAGCAGAACACCAATTGACTTGCCGCTTGCCGCGCCGCCTCTGGTAGCCGCTAGCTTTTGCTTACCGCAGCTTGCCGCAAGCGTCGCCCCCTCCGTGAAGCCCCCAGGAGGCTCCGTGAGGCCCCAGGAAGGCCGCAGGATCCACAAAGCGCGCGGGCACCGAAAGGCCACGGGGCGCCATAACACTGGCCGATGAGGTCAACATCGGGGGCCTTTCTTCCAGAATCGAGCGGAGTCGTGGCGCCGAGGCCGTCTCCCAGAAAGCCTCAGCAAACCCCAGGAGCCCCCAGGAAGCCATCAGGGGGCTCCAGAACGCCCCAGAACGCCGCAGGAGGCCCGCAGGAAGCCCCAGGAGGGCTGCAAGGCCCACAAAACGTCACGGGCACCGAAAGGCCAGGGGGCGCCATAACACCGGCCTGTTTGAGCAAAATCGGGGACCAATTCTTCCAAATCGAACGGTGTTCTAGCGCCGAGGCCCTCCCCCAGGAGACCCCAGCAAGCCTAAGGAGGCGCCCAGGAAGCCACCAGGAGGCCCCAGAACGCACCAGGAGGCGCCCCAGGAAGGCCGCAAGGTCCACAAAGCGTCGAGGGCACCGAAAGCCCAAGGGACGCCGTAACACTGGCCGATCTGGGCAAATTCGGGGACCCCTTCTTCCCAGAATCGAACGGTGTTATGGCGCCGAGACCACCCCAGGAGGCCCCAGCAAACCCAAGGAAGCCCCCAGGAAGTCATCCTGGGGTTGGGGGCTTGGCGCCAACGCCGCTCGTTTTGAGAAGAACGGGCTTCCGATGGCCACAGCGGCCGGTGTTATGGCGCCCCTTGGGCTTCTGGTGCCCGCGACGCTTTGTGAACCCCACGGCTCTCCTGGGGCTTCCTGGGGGCCTTCTTGGGCTTGCCGGGGCCTCCTTGGGGTGGGGGTCGGCGCCCAAGACGCTCGATTTTGGAAGAACGAATGCCCGATGTTGCCCACATCGGCCGGTGTTATCTTTTGGGCTTTCGGTGCCCGCGACGCTTTGAGGAACCTGCGGCCCTCCTGGGTTGGGTCTTGCGGCGGTCTCAGCTCGCTTCCTGTCTGTAGGAAAGAGCTCCCTGCCAGACGCTAGAGGTGCCAGCGTTCGTGGCGTGCCAGAGCCAGTCTGCAGTTCGCAAGGGTGCTCTGCTATAGTGTTTGAAAGCTGGGCCAAGCCAATGCTGGCGGGCAAGCCCGGGCCCGCTCGCGCCCCCCATATGGGAACCGTGAGCAAGATATGGATCCAACGCTACAAAGGCGCTGCAGACGCGACGCGGCGCACAACGCCAGGGCCATGCCAGCGAGCATAAAATCAACGCGGTTGGGCCCTGGGAGCCCGACTGTGGCATCACCGTTGCGACGCAAACTTGGAGACCGCAGCCCTGGCTGCCCCTTCCACGCGCCTGGGATTCCAAAGCGCGCTGCTGCTCTGCGAAACTTGCGCGCTACGGCCGCGATGCACGTCGCGACCCCGCGCGCGGACAAAGCTGGCTGCGGTCGTTTACGATCCGCTACCATGTGGCTTGACACGCAGTGCCCGCGATGCCAATATTGGCGCAACAAGAAACAAGGTGGTGATGATGGCGACGATGATGGCGGATGACATAGGAGCAGGGGGCGGAAGAACACGATGAGAATCGGCAGCAGCAGGAGGAGGGCTAAGAGGAGGGGAGAGGAGGAACACATGCAGAAGCAGGATCAAGAGGAGGGCGGGATCGGCGCGAAGAGGGAGCGCTGGCTGAGCCCCGCTGGCCCCATGGGCGGAGGTGGCATCAGGGAGCGCGCCGTTTCTAAACGACCCCGGCCCTCCCGCTGGGGAGGGATTTGCTCCTCAACCGCTCTCTTTGCGGGTCCGGGCGGGCGGGGGCAGCGAGCGGCAGGGGCGCTCGAAAAGGCCTTGGATGGCTCCAGACGCGGCCCAGGAGTCCTGGGGCATCTTGGGGCCTCCTGGGGGCCTCCTGGAGGGGGTGACGCTTACCGTAAACCGTAAACAAAAGCAGATCAGGCGGAGGCCGACCGCTGACCGCTACCCGCTTGCCGCTAAATGTTTGCTTGCTTGTTTGCTTTCTTAGCGATTGCCGCAGGCCGTAACTAAACAATCCCTGCCAAGGTGTGGTCTGCGTCGCCACTGCAAGGGTAATTCTAATATGTGTGATGCGTGTGTCCGCTGTGGAAATACTTACTGCTAGCCACATGCTGCCGATCACTTGGAGATTTATAAGCGGTCCTGTCTAGCCTCGCATAGACACCAGTCGATGACGCCGTGCCGCGTGTCCTATGCGGCGACTGATGCTTCCTGGCAGCCTCGGCAACGATGTCACATGTGCTGACTATCTAAAGACGCCGGTGTCGTCGCGGACCGTGAAGGCACGCCCATGACTGCATTGAGCGCGGATTCTCGCCCGACTTCAGGCGCAAACGAGGAGGGTCAGGAGCAGGAGGAGGAGGAGGAAGAGGAGGAGGAGGAGGAGGAGGAATTCAAGAATTATGCGCTGCAGCACTGTCGCTTAGGAGGGGTTTGACGGGAGCCCGTCGAGATTATGTAGCGCACCGACTGGGGGCGACATGCAGCAGCTGGCACGCTCAAGGGCTCCCGTCATCAAAACTGTTGGCCGTCGCGGACGGCTCGACATGGGAGGGGGCACCTTAGAGCTCACGCGGGGCCTCGCGGCCGAATCGGCTGGGATCTCGCGGCCCAGTGGAAGATTCCCCCTCCTTTTCCTTGTCGTCGTCCTCCTCCTCCTCCTCCTCCTCCTCCTCCTCCTCCTCCTCCTCCATCCCTTTTCCTTATAAGAAAGCTCATCCCTGTCGTACCCTCAAACGTATTGGTAGGGCGGGCCGGGCGTTTCGGATGGGACTTCCTGACCATTCATGATCTTGAAGCTTGAATTCTGCAGAAGTCTCACGATGGAGGGCGGGCCGTTTTCAAAATGTTGCTCTCGCCTCAGCGCCGCGCACATTCGTTGTAAAAGGTCGCAACAGCTTCAAGGAAGAAAGGCGGCTCTGTAGGAAAATGTGGCTCTCGCATTAGCACCACGCACATTCGCTTTGCACATGTCCAACAACTTCAAAGATTCGCATGGTCGAAATCCCAAGAATGGTGTTCTGACAAGCTTTAGGGGGTGTCCGGATGCAACTGTCACGTTGCTTCGCTGTGTTGAAGTCCGAGGATTTGTGCTCTGGCACGATTTAGGAGCGTCAGGACGCAACAGTCACGTTGATTCGCGACGCTGAAGTCCCAGGAATTATGTTTCTGTCACGGTTGAAGATTCTCGGACGGTTGCCTTTCAACTGGCCATTCCCCGCAATGAGAACGAGTTCTTCGAGGGGGGGTCATTGCAACATATATCGTTGGTGCGTCTCGGGTTCGCACTGGTCTTCCTCCTCCTCCTCCTCCTCCTCCTCCTCCTCACCTCTGCGTCTTCCCCCCTCAGGAACCAGGAGCGAGGAGCCCCAAGGGAGCTCCGAGGGCTGCATGGCCGCCAGCAGCTCCGGCTGCGGCGGCCGTCCGCCACCGCCGCGCCCGCCGGCGGCCTGGCCGCAGAGCTGCTCGAGCTGCTGCTGCAGCTGCGTTGCGCGCATTGCGAGCGCGGCCATCTCCTCCGCCGCGTCGCCCTCGAACTCCTCGCCTGGAGGAGGAGGAGGAGGAGGAGGAGGAGGAGGAGGAGGAGGAGGAGGAGGAGGAGGAGGAGGAGGAGGAAAAGAGGAGGAGGAGGAAGGGGAAGAGAGGAGGAGGAGGAGGAGGAGGAGAGGAGGAGGAGGAGGAGGAGGAGGGAGGAGGAGGGGAAGGAGGACGAGGAGGAGATGGAGAAGGAGGAGGAGGGAGGAGGGAGGCGGAGGAGGGGGAGGAGGGGGAGAGGGAGGAGGGGGGGGGAGGGTGAGACAGAGGAGGAGGGGAAGGCAGAGGAGGAGGAGAAGGAGGGAGAGGAGGGGGGGATGGGGGGGGAGAGGAGAGGGGGAAGGGGAGGGGAGATACGATACGATACGATACGATACGAAAATGACTGGGGCCTGCTCGTCTGAAGTTCTCAACTGCAAGCAGCTGGGTAAAGGGGGATGGGGAAGAGGAGGAGCAAGAGGGGAAGGAGGAGGAAGAGGATGAGGAGGAGGAGGGGGAAACGGAGGAGGAGGAGGAGGAGGAGGAGGAGGAGGAGAAGGGGAGGGCGAAGGGGGGAAGGGAAAGAGGGAAGGCGAGGGGAGCAGGGGACGAGGGGCAGGCTGCCCTGGGCAGGTGCACTGCTGAAGCCACTGCCCGTGTCAGAAGTGGGGGGGGGGGAGAGGGGCACTCCCTCCCCTTTCCCCCCATCCCTCCCCCTCGCCCCTTCTCCCTCCCGCGCCCTCTCCCATCCCCCCCCCTTCTCCGTCCCTGCGGCACGTTCGTGTCGCAACGACCCAGGCGCTGGTTTCCCACACCGCGCGGGTCGTTCGAGCTTTTTCGATCGCCGGATCGTTCCGCGCCACTTGCGGCGCTCAAACGTGCACGCCCGTGGCGGGGTCGCCGCCGCGTCGACACGGCGCGAATCTGCCGCGGTGGACAAATCCGAGCGGGCGGGCCCGAAGCTCGCTGCGTTTGCCGGGCCCCGCCGTCGTCGCTCTCGTCGTCCTCGGCCTCGCCGTCGCCGGCCTGCTGGGCGGGCGCCCTCGCGATGCCCGCGCGGGCCTTCAGCTCCTGCACGGTGGCCTGCTGGGCGTCCAGCACCTGCGGGGGGAGGGGGCGGGGCCGCGGCGGCGGCCGGGGCGGGGGGCGCGAGGCGAGGCGGGAGGCCGAGGAGGCGGGGGGGGGGCGGCGCGGCCCCACGCGCGAGGGGAGGGCGAGGGGCGGCGAGCGGAGGCAGGCGCCAGGCGCGAGGCGGGAGGTCGCCGTCGAACGCGGGCGCGGGGCGTGGCCCGTGCTCCCATGACTCGGGGGGGGGGGGGGCCGGGTGGCGCGGGCAACGGGGGGCAGGAGGAGGCAAGAGGGAGAGGAACGACCGTCCCGAAGCGGAGGAGGGAGGGGAAGGGGAGGGGAGGAGGGAGGGGAGGGAGGGAGGGCAGGGGGGAGCGGGGGGAGAGGGGAGGTGTTAGTTCGGGGGCTCTGGGGTGGGAAGGGGAGGCGGGACAGGTTACTGGCGCGGTGGGCTGCTCTGCCCTCGCCCATGGGGCACGGACGAGGCCTGCTGGCCTGGTGCTCCACATTGCGGGCCATACTTACACAACAAAACATACGACAAACGCCCCTGCAGTAGTTACCGGCGCAAGGTTGCAGCGTTTGTGTGGGCTCGTTGACTGGACCATCGCGAAGGCCGAGGGAATAACGTTCAGGTATGTTCGAACGTCTTTGTGCCTCCCCAACCGCTCAGGACTGCCAGGGGGAGGCCTCCGGGGAGTGGAGAGGAGGCCTCCCCCCAGACGTCTCGGAGGAGGAGGAAGGTAATAGAAGAGAAGAAAGGCTGCCTGCAGGGAACTCGCATACGCCGCACGCGAGGGGGAGACGGCCTCAGCCTGCGGCTGGCGGGCGCCAACAGCCATGGTAGAACGGCCGTGTCGGCATGATGCGCTCTCTCAGCGAGCGCAGCCGATCATAGGGGGCAAACAAACCTTCCTCGGTTTTGGCCACCCTCGCTTCCAAAAGATACCAAGCGATGCCAAACTACGGCCTGCACTGGTCAGGCCACTGGACGAGGAGGCGCGCGGTATGACTTGGTTTTGCCTGGAAGCGAAAGCGGGGTAGGTAACTCACGCTCTGACGTCAGTGTGACGCATACCAGTTGTGGGGCCCCGGCAGGCTCGCCTCGCCCGACGGGCCAGGCAACAAGCGGCCCAACGTGCTGTGAACGACAAGGCACGAGATCAAAGGCATCGCACCGAAGAGCTCCACGTACACCCGGGTGAGTGGGAGAGTTGGTGGGCTCATCAAGAATCACAGCAGTGGCAGCAGTGGCAGCACAGGGACCCTTCCTGTCTGCATGCTGGATGCCAGACTGGGACGAAGACATGCTCCAGAGCCAGAGCGCGCGAGAAGCTACGGCAGGGCCGGCAAGCGGTGGGGCGTTGCGACACCAGACGCCATCGAATACATCCGCGGACCAGAGTGGCAGCCTGTAGAAGGGTGCGAGAAGAACCGGAAGAACCGGGAAGGGCAACCGGCTTCGGCAAGATTGCTGGATATCAGACGCCGTCAACTACATACGCGGGCCAGCATGTGCGAGAAGAGCCGCCACCGGCAGCAAAGAGCAGTGATAAAGCTGGACACTAGATGTCATCACCTGCATGCGTAGGCCAGTGCGCGCTAGAAAAGCAGGCAGTGGCAGCCGGCGGTCGAGGAGATGGGTTCCAGACGTCATCAGCTGCGTTCCTGGCGTCACAAGCTACAGCTTGGAGCCAGAGCGTGCGCAGAGAGCTGGCAGTGGCCGCAGACGGGCTCGCGAGGAGTGCAGAAGTGAAGGGGCCCCAGGACACACAAATAAATACACACAAATAAAAAGATTCCCCATTTTCCCATATTTTCTGGATTTCTGCTCTGCCCATATGCAACGGCATTTTCGGCAAGTTCTGGCACTGGCAGAGAACAGCGGTGCGAGAGCTGGATACCAAATGTCATCTACTTCGTGCGCGGACCTGCAGGGGCGAGAAGAGCTGGCAGTGGCAGTGGCCGGTGTAGCAAGAGCTGGATGCCAGGCTGCCGAATGTCACCAGCTGCAACCTGGAACCAGAGCGTGCGCGAAGTGCCGGTTGCGAGAAATGTAGAAGACCACGCGTCATCAACTACATTCAGGCAACAGCGTCTGCAAGAAGCGCCGGCAGATGCATCAGACAGCGGTGCGACGGCTGTTGGTGGGCTCCAGACGGCCTCGGCTACATGCGCGAAGCAGCACGCGTGCGAGAAGAGCTAACAGTGGCAGCAGACGATGTCGCCAGCGTTGGATACCAGACGGCAACAGCTACAACTCAAACCCAGAGCGTGCGCCAAGAGCCGCCAGTGGCAGCAGCAGACAAAGCTGCGATGGTTGTACCGGACCATGCGTCATCAACTACTCATTGGCAAGAGCATGTGCAGTGCAAGAGGCTCGGCAGAAGCACGCAACGGTGCAAGACCTGGACACCTGATGCCATCATCTACACTGTGGTGGCAGCATGTGAGGAGAGGAGCCAGCAGGAGTAGCAGGCAGTAGCGCGAGAGTTGGATTCCTGACGCCACCAGATACAACTCGGAACCAGAGCGTGCCCAAAGTGCCAGCAGTGGCAGCGGACGGACATGCGAGAAGTGCAGAAGGCCAAACGTCATCTGCAGATTGGTAACATCGTGCGCGACAAGTTCTGGCAGTGGCATCAAACAGCGGTGCGAGAGCTGGATGCCAGATGTCACTTGCGCGGACCAGCAGGGGCAATAAGTGCTGGCACCAGCAGCGGACGATGTTGCAAGAGCTGGATGCCGGGCGTCATCAGCTACAACATGGAACCAGAGCGTGCGCGAAGAGCTGGCAAAGGCAGCTGCAAACGGAGTTGCGAGAAATGTAGAAGACCACACGTCATCAGCTACAGACATGCAAAAGCGTCTGCGAAAAGTGCCGGCAGCAGACAGCGGCGCTGGCAGCGGCAGCAGACAATGTGGGGCTGGAGCAGGAGCGAACTGCGAGGTGGGGTAGCGGCAGCAAGACCACGGTGCAGGCGGTGGAGTGCGATCCGAATGCCAGACGTCATCAGCTAGATGATGAGATGATGAGTGGGCGATCCACGACTGGATCCACAAGCCGGTCCATAAGCCTTGGCCAAAAACACACGGCTTGGAAGAGGATTATGCGGAGACGCATATCCAATAGATTGCACTGCAGCGGTGGCAATAGACGGAAACACAAATACAAGACAAAGAACACACCTTGATGGCCCCGCTTCAGAGCATTGAAGAGGTGCGCTCGGATATGGTGGTGCTGAAGCTCGGCAAGGACGAGGCGGAAGCTGAGCGCAACCGTGTCAGGGAGTGTCAAGAGGCCGATCGCTGCCCGCGATACGACAGGGGGGCAATTGCGGCAAGCATCATTACGACTGCACCGTTCAGGATCTAAACGACAACACTGTGAAGTTTCTCTGGGCAGACGGCTCAGAAAGCGTAGTCGGGCGGCCTGCCGTGAGTAGGAAAACGTAAATTCGGTGAAGTGCCCGCGGCCACCGCCAGTGCCCGTCGGCCCGGCGGCGAGGCCGTTGCCACGCCCCTCCCCCTTCTTCACCAACTGAAGGAGGACGGCGCGACGACCTTGCGGCAGAACGTCAGCTTCAAAGGCAGCAGCTATCGCCTGGATGCCTCCTCCTTGGCCTGAATTCGGGCTGCCAGCGCTCGCAAACGGTCGGAATCGACCAAGCGAGGCGACCCAGCAGCGAGAGGGCCTGGAGGGGCAAGAAGCACCGACTTCGACGGCGCTCTAGCAGGCGCCAGCGAGTCATCACCCTCGGGATTCTTTCTGTAATGAGGGTGGAGGCCAGCCTGAAGACGAGTGAGCACCTGATCTCCCGCAGTGCCCAACTTCTTGAGACAGGTCTGACCTAGCAAGTGGCATCGCCTGCTGGTGTATGCCCCGCAGGCAAAACAGAAAAACAGCGGTCATTGGGTTTTGTGCAGGATGGCAAATCCCAACTTATGTTGCCGCTCGGTCTCAGCACCCTGGAGGCGCCTCAGAGCCGTGGACAAACCCACACAACCGTTCATCGGGCGGGACTCGCCATCGAACGAAATCCTGAAACATTTCTTACATCTGAAAGCGGGTCGATCGCCACTGAGCTCATCCCAATCATGCCAATCGGGCGGGGGAGGAACTCTAGGCAACCTCTTCTCTTTCGGGGGTCTCTCAAAGTGCAGCTTAGGAAAAAGAGAGAGCACCTTCCCGAACATCAGAGCACACGCTCGAAGGGCCTGCACCTGCCTATCCAGCGTCTCCAAATCAGCAGGGGCAGGCTGAGGATGAAGCGAAAGGGCGTACTTCGCCAGGCGGTCAGCGTCCTGGTTGGCTAAAGCTATTCGTTTCTGGTCAGGAGGGAGGGCCTGTATGATAGCATCCGACCGATGGGCGGGCGTAATTATGCTGGGCCTCCCTCAGGGCATCAAATCCAGGCGATTGCTGCGCGGCACGGCGGAAGCCCGCAAACATTTCCCGCGGGCACAGCTGCGCCTCATCCGAGAGATTATGCAAGCGCACGGCCCCTTTGCAATCACTGAAAGGGGAACTCATGCCCGAGCTAAACGCACAAGCAGTGGCCAGGCCCAAGTTTTCGGCCGCCTGGGGCGTTTGGTGCAACACTGGCCACACAGTGGCCATGAAGCGGGTCCGAACCTGGTAAACGTCCCCTGGTTCCAAATAAACTCCCGCGAAAGCAGCGCGGTTGAGCTCTAACCAACTGAAGGGGGACGAGGAGGAGGACGAGGCGGAGGAGGAGGAGGTGGAGGAAGAGGAGGAGGAGGAGGAGGAGGTGGAGGAGGAGCAGGAGGGGGTGGTGGCTGGTGGCGGGGCACGCGTGCGAGACGAGCTCGAGGTGGCGACAAGCTTGAAGACCAGCCCCTGCGTGAGCTGGCGGCGATGCTGCAGGCAGGGCGGCTGCGCGGGGGGCGCGCGGCCTCGGACCGCGCAGCGCTCGCCGGGGAACGCCGGTGATGGCTCTCTCGGCAGCGCGCAGCCGCAGGAAGAGAGGAGAGGCCCTCCCCACGGACAGCCCCGAGGGGGGAGGCCTCCCTCCCCTCTCTTTTCCGGAGGAGGAGACATCCGGGAGACCTCCAGGGAGTCTCCTCTTCTTTTACCCTCATGCCTCCTCTTCTTTTACCCCTAGGGAGCCTCCTCTTCTTTTACCCTCATGCCTCCTCCTCCTCCTAGTCCTCCTCCTCCTCCTCCTCCTCCTCCTCCTCCTCCTCCTCCTCCTCCCCTCGCTCCTAATTGTGCTCCCATCATCGTCATCCTTCTCTTTCTCCCTCCTCCTCCTCATTCTCCCTCGTTCTCCTCCTCCTCCTCCTCCTCCTCCTCGTCCTCCTCCTCCTCCTCGTCCTCCTCCTCCTCCTCCTCCGTCTCCTCCTCCGTCTCCTCCTCCTCCTCCTCCTCCGTCTCCTCCTCCTGTTCCTCCTTCTCGTCCTCATCCTCCCCTCGTTTTCCCCATCCCCCATGCTCCCGCTCTGCCTGCCTCCCGCCTCATGGAGGGGGGCTATCCCTGCCCCGGCGCCTTCTGCTGCTCGCTGTACATCTTTTGCCCCGCCTGCAGAACGGCCAGCGCCTCGGGCGGGCCACGGGGGCCCTTCGGGGGCTTCGGCTCCGCAACCTCGTCTCCCCGGAAGAGGAGTTTACGAAGGATGCAGAATTCACGATGGATGCATCAGCGACGCTGCAATGCACCCTCCCGTCTCAAGCCTTTTCCTCACACGTCCCGACAAGCTCTCTTCTTCACTGCCAGGAATATGGAGCACCCATGGCTGGATTCGCATGCGGAACATGCCGAAGCCACGTGCGGGATCCACATGCGGAGAATCCCGGTGCCTGGCCACAAGAGGGCCGAGTGCTGAAACGGCATGCGGCCACGTGTGTACCCAGCTCTTGCCCAGGCAGGCCACGTCATGTGTGCCCAGCTTCCGTAATAAAGGGAGGGGGGTCTCATTTCGGGGGGGTCTCTTCCAGGCTATCTTAGAGGGCCTGGGGTCTGGGGACGATGTTTTGGAGGGTTCTCCCACGGGGGAGGTCTGAAATGGCTTGTCTTAATCTGGAGTACCCAGCTTCCATGTGCAATAGGGGCCCTTTGAAAGACCAGCACCGTTGGGCCTGACCTTTTTGGCAAGGGCCCCGCTTTGGAAAAGGACTTGTCTTGCATCTTTCTGGCGCGCCACCGGGAACGCAACAAAATATGCTTATACAGTTCAACGAGGTGTCCAACGAGATCCCCCTTCCGAGAATGATTCGCCCCCACATCTGTGCAACCCTTGTAGAAGCTTGCACGCGTGGTCATGAGCTTCGAGGAGGTCTCAAGCGACAGCTCACTTTTGACAAAGAACCACCCTGAATCCGTAAAGCGCTACATGTAATGGAGCTGCTGGTGCATAAAAAAGCGAAGTCTCCAGCGAGAGCCCCATCTGAAGAAAGAGTCCCCTATCTTCCCGGCGCTGTAGTAAAAATCGAGTGCGAGCGGCGCTAAAATGAGAACACCAAATTGAAGACGGCCAATGCTCAATCCTTGAAACCGTTGCAAGATTTGGACAAACGTGCGCGGTGCCGCTCCGAGAGTCACGCTTTGACGAGGAGCTGCCTCTGCCCGTGAAGTTTGCAAGATGTTTAAGCGAATGTGAGTGGCACCAAGAGGAGAGAGTTCCAATTTGAAGACTGCCCCCCAATCCATTCCTGAAGCAGCTGGAAGCTTGTAAGACGAAAGTGCGCGACGCCAAGGCGAGAGTCACATTTTGAAAACGATCCCCCCTCCCCCTCCATCGCTGACACGACCGCAGCTTGTTGAATCAAGTGTGCGCAGCGCTAAGTCGATAACCACATGTTGAAAAGCAACGCCCTTCCATCCCAGAAACTGCAGCATTTGTTTAAGGCGAGTGTGCGTGGCGCTAGGCACGAACCCTATTTTGAAAACAACACACCCTCCATCCGCGAAATTGTTGCAAATCTAAGCTTCAGAAGCGCCCATGGGGAGGACGCCTCAAGCGAAGCGCCTGACCCGCCGTACCGACACGCTTGAGGGTGCGACAGGGAGGAGTGGGAAAAGGGGAAGACGAGATACAAGAGAAGACATAGAAGAAAGGAGATAAGGAGAGGGTGGGAGGAACTCCTCCTCCCTCCTCCGCCTCCTCCTCCTCCTCCTCCTCCCCCTCTTTGCTTCCTTCCCTTCCTCCTCCAGCCTTCCTTCCTCAATCTCCTCCTCCTCCACCTCCTCATCCTCTTCCCTACTCCTCCTCCGCCTCTTCCTCCTCCCGCTTTCTCCTCATGGTCATCTCGACCAACAAAACAACATCAACACGCAAATCCTATTTACCGGCGACCTTGGCCCCGAACGGTTCCGACCTTCCTCGGTCTCCCGCAAGGGCCCTGGCACCCGGGCATGCGCCTCCTCCAAGCGGCCATGCAACTTCAGGAGCTGGTCGTCCTTCCGCTTGTTCATCGCTTCGAGCTGGGCCACCCGGGTCTCCTGCTGCTCGATTACCAGCCGGAACTTGTCTTCTAACTCATTCTGAGTAACTGCCTGACGGAATATATTTTCTCAGGGTCAGCTTCCTCTTGTCCCCTCAGGGAGGGGTGCATCGCCGCCTTGCCAAGTCGAGTTAGTGCTTATCCAAACCATCCCGAACTGCATAAGTGGCGCGTGTATGCCCCAGGCGCATACAAAAAAGCTGCAGGGTGCACACAAGGCCACAAGGGAGATGGCCACTCCATGAGCAACACTTGCGGGACAGTCTGGAATGACGCGTGCAGTGGCGGGGGCGCTGTCGAGCACAGGTGGGATTGCCACAGCTTGCGATCAGACGAAGTGGTGAGAAGCCCACCTGGAACCCCTCCCCCCCCGCCTCCCAGTCCCCTCCCCTGGAGGCACCCTCCTCACTCTTATACAATGTTGCGGGGTGCTGCGAACTCTCCCACATGCCTCCAAGTGGTCCCAGATCCGCTCCGAGGCGGCTCCAAGTGACCACGGAGCTTCCCAAGAAGTCCCCCAAGAAGCCGCCCAACAAAGCCCAAGAGGCTCCCAAGAGAGCCCCAGGAAGGGCTCCAGAGCGTAAGCGTCATCGTCGTCGCCACCGCCGCCCGCCGCCACCGCCGTCGTCGTCGTCGTCGTCGTCGTCGTCCCCTTTCAGGGTCGGCGGCTCTGGCCGTAAGGCCTTCCCAAAACATATGTACGCATATGTATGGCAACGTGTACCGAATGCATGGAATGGTGTACTATTCATTAGGCGCCCCAGGTCCAGGCAGCGCTCAGAGGCACCTGAAGGACAGACTAATCCAGAACAGATTTCGATTGGAGCGCTGGTTGAAGCTGGCATGAGATTGTTGGCTCTGATTACCAAACGGCATTGTTGTTGCCAGTGGCGCGCGACATGCCCCATGATGCTGCCCACTCTGCTGTTAATGCATTGCCAGTGATGGTTATGCGGATGTGTGGTGCTCATCTTGCTGAGGTTGTCCGCCCCTTTGTGGCTGCTGCGTCTGCTGTATCATGTTTGCTGTTACTGGGAGACGATCGTCTGGAGTGACATGGCTCCTGCGTCACAGGAGTCACCCAAACCTGTTCAAAAGCATGGGTGCAAGAGAGGCGACAAAAGTACTTGCGGCCGACATCGCACGCACTTGATTCTCGCTGGCTTCTCAGAGACAAGGGATCCGGCCACTAAGCCAAAAGGTCAGTGACAACCAGGCTGAGTGGTACCTATTCTTCTAATCGAGCTGCAGTAGCACAGAACCGTATTATGAAATCGCTACTGCTCGACGGTGGCAAACCTTTGAAACTGGCGCAAATCGAAAGCCTTCGACTAATGCCGTCGATAGCAGAGCTGACGTGACAGTAGAAGAGGAACATCGACGACTCCACGCGTGACGGCGTTGGAAGCCCGATGTGCGGTCACGAGAGCACGCTCCAGACACGTCGACAGGCCCTTCGGAAAGGCCACTGTGCCCTCTCGCTATGCTCATGTGTCGGGAGTTTGAGCTGAAAGTTCTGGTTACCACTGACAACTGACCAGGTCAGACTCGAACGTCTCCGAAACAGGTCCACGGTCCTCTCCGAAAGCGACTGTTCTCGAAAAGAGTGGCGACCCCCAAGAAGCAAGAGCCTGGCCCGATGCCCCGCTGCTGGTGTGCGCTGGCGCCCTCTGGCCAGTCGGGCTCCTCCTCTCCATGGCGGCGCGCGGGCCCGTGACAGCGCGGGATCTCAGGCGCAGTCGGGCCGTGCAGCGCCCGATCCGCTGAGCCAGCTGCGGGGCGAACCCGAGGAAGCACCCGAGAAGATCAGGAAGAACGAGGACGGAGGGCGCCCGCCAGAGAGCGAGCGGTCCCCCGGCCTCCGCCGCCTGCGCGGGGCGCGGAGCGGAGTGCTCCGGCGGGCTCGTGTGGCAGGTCAGCTTTTGTGGTGGCACCGCGTGCTGCACAGCAGGTGGCACACATGCGACAAAAAGCTCGCGCAGCAAGAAATCTAGGGGCACGTGTCGTGGAGCTTTGGGCTTCCAGAGGTGCCCAAGGGTTCCTCTGGGCCCCCAGGGCCATCACAGGATCAGGAACTTCCGAGGGGCACCTACTGCCATGCCGGTTTCTCATTTGACGTGCCTGCTGTGCTCCGCCACCTCGGCCACCCTGCGTTCTTTCGAGGGCGCTGCAAAATTGAAGCAACAGGCGACCGAGACATGGTGGACATTGTCAGGGATGGGAGGCCGGCTCATGACCACTTCGACATATCAACTGATTGTGCTGTCATGGGTTTCCTGTTTCGCTGATACTCTAGCTTCCAATCCCGCTCCTGCTGCCATTTCTCCCTGATGCTCCTCCTATTAAACCCGCCCTCATCATATTATCGTCCTTGTCCTCCTTCTCTTCGCTTCCTTTTAGTATTAACATTATGTTCATCATTATTCGTTTTGCGATTCGTTCTCTTATTAATAATCGTGCTCGCATTAATACTATTATCATTTTCAGTATTAGTACTGATATTACTGATCTTTATTACGAGTATCTATATTAGGATCGCTGATATTATTCTTATGTTTGTCATGACTATAAATAGTCGTACGGCTATTATTATGAAAAAAATACGACTATTATTTTTTAGTAGTACTATTACGTTGTGAAACTACGTAATATAAATATCACTAGTGTTGCCATTATTATTTGTATTATCCGTCTTCGTATTATTGATATTGTTATTGTTATTGATATGATTACTCCTCATCCTCCCCCTCCTCAGCCTCATCCTCCTCCTCATCCACATACTCCCATGCCTCCCGGCCATCTTTCCACAAGCAGGGCCCTTCACCTCCTCTCCCTAAGGATAGAGCCGAAGAACTCGGAGGCGTAGCGGTGCAGCGACGGTCGGTCGTCGACCTCTGTGGCGGGGAGGAGTTTGGGGGGCTCTGCGGGCGGTGGGGTGGCCGCGGCCGCCTCGAGGGTCCCGTTCCGGAGCGTTCCGGAAAACTCCGAGAGCGTCCGGTAATGCTCTGGAGAAAATCCCGTTCCTGGGCCCGCCCGATAAACCCGAGACCTCCATTGTCCTTTCCCCCACCTCCTTCCCCCCGCCCCCCGCCCGCTGCCTCCTCCCACAAGTATGTCCGTCCTCCCTCCTCATTCCTCCTCGTCCCTCGTACTTCCTCCCCTTCCTCCCCATTGGGCAGGAGGAGGAGGAAGGGCAAGAGGTGCAGGAAGATGAGGCTGAGCGAGGGAAGGATGCAGAGGAGGAATATGAATACGCATCCCCCCCCCCGCATCCCGTGCAACGGCGGTGTAGGGGAGGAATAGGAGGAAGATGGGATGAAGGCGAAGATGAGGAAGTGGAATCAGGCAGAGAAACAGA